GGCCAGAGCTGGTCGTAACCCGAAAAGTTTGTTAACAGAGGCGTTCGTAACCCGAGGTACCACTGTACATTTGCTTTCTTGGCTGTCCATTGTCTTCTCAAGAACTTTCTCCAACACCAAAGTTCAAAAGCATCAATACTCTTCCTATCCTTCTTCAAAGTCCAACTTTTGCTTCCATAGAATATTACAGGGAGTACCATTGCTTGCACTATTCTGTAGATACAGAGAAATCATGGCATCTGAATATCTTTTCCAAGGCCTTCATGGCTGCTGTGCCAAGTGCTAGTCTGCAGTGTATTTCTTGACTGCTTGTTCCTTTTACTTCTGATGGTTGATCCTGAAAGGCAGAAGCTATCTATAACTTCAAAATCTTCATTCTGAATTCTAAAGCTGGTTGTAGTAGTATCTGTTGTCACTAGTTTGGTCTTCTTTATGTTTAATTTTAATCCCATTTTTTCACTGTGCTTTTGACTTTTATTACTAGAGCTTTGTGATGTGTCATAAAGTGCAACATCATGTGACTACGTCGCTTAATGACAGCAATCCTGGCACTCCCCATTGCCATCTGTTAACCGAGAATCGCAGGTTGTTAACCAAGGACCTCCTCTCAACTTCTTGCTGGCTTCCAACAAACAGAGTCAATGGGGAAGCTGGCTGGTGGGCAGGTAAGTGGCTACTGCCAGGTGGAGGAGGGTACGTGAGTGGCCAGCAAGGCATGAGCATAGTAGGGCTGGTAGTAGCTGCTGCCGGCTGGGGGAGGGTGTGCAAGGGTGTGCAGGTGGATGGCATGTGTGTGGCAGGGCTGGGGGTGGCTGCTGCAGGGTGCACAGGTGTCTTGAGGCGTGGTGAGAATGAGGTGGGGATGGCTGCTGCCAGGTGGGTGTGTGTGCACGATGGTGCAGGTGGGCAGCGCAGTCTGGTGTGGCAGGGCTGGTGATGGCTGCTGCTGGGTGGGGGAGAGTACGTGAGGATGCAAGGGTGACCATTAAGGCGCAGCACAAGCATGGTGGGGGCCAGCTGCTACCGGCTGTGGAAGGGTGCACAGGTGGTCATCGAGGCGCAGCGCAAGTGGCTGCTGCTGGGCATGCAACCATGTGCCTGTGGCTGTCAAGGCTGGGCACAAGCATGGTGGGGGTGGCTGCTATCAGAAGGGGCAGAGTGTGCTGGTGTTTAATATATTATTTAATGTATTTAATGGCTGGTGTGTGTCTTCCGGGCTGTGTGGCTGTGGTCTTGAAGTTTTGTCTCCTAACGTTTCGCCAGCACCTGTGACCGGCATCTTCAGAGTGCAGGAGCACAGAC